GCTCCAGGCGCCCAGCTCCAGCCTCAGGAGCCTCCCAGGGGCCCCACTCGGGAAGGCTTTGCCGAGCGGACCCAGGCGCTCACTCCATGAACACTTGTCGAGCACATTCTCTGGGCCAGATCCTGGGTTTTATATTCTCAACAGGAAGTTGGCCAACAGATAAACGGGCAAATAACTAAACAGGAGAACAGGCTACCTCTCAGCACCAAGAAGAACATGAAACCAGTGGTGTGGCAGAGAGTAACTGGGGAGTGTCACTCCCGAGGGACAATCAGGGAAGGCCTCCCTGAGGAGGCAACTGTGAAACAAGACCTGATTGACACGAAGGAGCCTGCCATAGGAAAGTATGAAGAACAGCCTTTCAGACAGTGGGCATAGCAAGTGCAAAGGTCCGGTGGCAGGAGGCTCAAGGGATGCTGGACTGGCTGAGGAGCGAGAAGAGAGGGGGCAGGAGGTGGGCAAAGCCAGCAGGGGCCCTTACATAGCACCTCCTCAGGCAGGGTGAACACCCAGGGCAGCAGGCAGCCAGCAGAGGATTTGAGCCAGGGAGCCACACTGTCCTCACATCCGGAGTCCCAGCCTGGAGAGAGGATCTGCTCCTCCTGCAGCTCAGCCTGGGCAGCTCAGCCCGGGAGCCATCCATCCCTGTCTCAGCCTCCTCTGCAGTCAGACTCCAGACCCCATTAATATAAATGAGGCTCTTCGATGACTCGATTTCCAAATGAGCCCAGACGTTCAAGATCTCGATTCCAGGAAATGTGAAATTTATGTAACAAACGTTAAAAGAGAAACTGGGCAGGCAGCTCCTTAAGTGCCAGCTTCCTGGGTGAGTGAGTCAGGCCCTGCTTGAGTCTGGCAGAAGACAGATGAAGTGCCACCAAGGTCCATGGGGGCCTGGTGGCAGGAGAGACCCAGGCCACCGTCCTTCTCCAAAGGAAGCGCAATGGTGGCAAAAGTGGGAAGAGCTGCTGGCCTGGCCCCTCCGAGCGCCCCACCTGCACACGCCGCCACGTGACCCTTGCGGGGGCAGACACTGCCGTGTTCCTCGGGTTACAGGAGAGGACACTGACCAAGACACACAGCAGAACAGGGGCCACGATGGGCTCAGGAGGACTCTGCAGGAAGTCCTCGCAGTCAGAGGGACCTGGTTTCACGTTCAAGCTCCAAGGACATCTAGGAAACTTCTGCGTGATCTTGGACAAATCCACAGCCCCCTCCTCACAGGATTCATCCCTGAAGGAAAGGAGGTGACGTGTGAGGAGGCCGAACACGGCGTCCCTGCCCGCTCGAGCTGGTTAAAACATAATGATCATAAATATCATAGAACTGGAAAGTCTTAAAGATTTCAGGTACAGCTGGATCCAGGGGACACTAAAGATGGCATAAGGGCTCAGTTTCCTCTTTCCCTGGAGCAATGGACCCTAACCAGGGCAACGCCATTCCTACAGCGAGAAATATTAGGTAAAAGTTGAGAGGGAAGCTTCCAACACGGAAGCCAGGTCCCAGGGTTCACTCTGATTGGACCAATGTGGGTCACGTGGTGCATCCCTTGCCTCTGCTGATTGGGCTAGCTGGGCCACGCCCCCGGGGGGCCTGGAGACCGCTGGGAAGGCCCAGGCTGAGCCCTCGGAGTGCGGCGTGCCGCGAGGGAGGCTCCCCGCAGGGGAGTCAGTGCTGCCACCGGAACAGCAGGCCTGTGCCTGGCCGGCGTGAGCGCCAGACGGTGCTGCTGGCACACAGTAGGCCCTCCTCAGACATACGCGCATTTGAAGGAGCCAACGTCTACGCAGAGAAGGTTGTTAGGAGGGAACAGAGTAATGTATGCCGAGTCCCTGGCACATAGTCAGCGCGGAATGAATCTGGTCTGAAAGGAACGAAGTGTCCCCCGCCCGGGTTCGCCCCGTGGTCAGGGAAGGCCCCGGCTCAGCCAGGCCCCCACCTGCGCTCATCCCCTCCCGGGCAGGGCCAGGGCAAAGGGAGCCGGACACCCGCCTCGGACGCACGATCACTAAGGGCACCAAAAAGCTGAGAAATCGAGGTCGATCACATTTTAATGCAATATTTTGGGAAATCGATATTAATGCAAAATCCAAGGTGAACAACACATCTCCATTTTAAATAAAGACGTGCGCACGCCCCCATCTGCAGACCGCTGACGTGCTCACGCCCAGGAGCGCGGTTCACAGACACGCTGATGTGGGTGGACTTACATGCAGGTCGCACAGCTCCACAGGGTCCCCTGCACCACAAGCTCCTGAATGGCTCCCTCCAACTGGCACAGGTCCACAGGTTCTGTGGTTGAAGGGAGCAGCCACGTGCGTGCACAAACACACGCATCACCACCCACGCGCCACGGAACAGTGCACACGCAGACACACCCAGAGATCGAGTCACATACTTGCTCATGTTCCTACCTCAGGGCCTTGGCACTTGCTGTTCCCTCTGCCTGGAGAGACCTTTCACCTCAGCCATGTAGCTCAGAGGTCACTTTTTCAGTATGTCTTCCCCTGCACACTCGCATCCCCCATCGCCTTCTAAATCCGCAAGACACTCCCCCCACACAGCCGTTACCCTGCCCTGCCCTGTGTTTCTCCACATCTGACGTCATGTGGTCCTTTTTATAGTATTCAATGTGTGCTTACCCCACTACAAAATCAGCTCCACAGGGCAGGGAGGTCTGTCCACTTCATTTACTGCTGTATCCCCAGCCTCTAGAACAGTGCCCAGCACATACTGGGCGCTCAATAAGTATTCGTTGCATGGATGAAAGAAGCCAGGTGAGTAGAGATCCCTGAGAATGCGATTCCCCAGACCCCCCAGGAAGGCACCTGGAGTCCAGTGTAAGTCGATGTCAAGACCCAAGGAACAATACAAGGGGCGTCCTCAGTGCTGCTATCACTGCTCCGCATCTGACATAGGAGGAAACTAAGGCACTGAGAGGTTAATTCACTTGCTTAAGATGTCACAGCACAGAAGTGGCAAAGCGGAGATTCAAACCCAGCCCTACCCACCCCCCCACCCCCCCCACCCCCTCCACCCCCTCCACCCCCCACCCCCCCACACACAGCCTGGACCCCCCACTGGCCCTCCCAGTCCTGAGCAACCCTAATAAATAACTCCCTTCCCCCAGTTGAGTGTTCAGGGTCCCCTCCCTTCTGCTACTGCCCCCCACTGTGTCCTTGCTGCATCCCAGCCAAAGTGCAACCTGCTTCCCCCTTGACGCAGGAATCTGTGGGCTGTCCAGTTGTCATGGTGACGGCCACCAGCCCCAGCAAACAGTCTCACCTCCCGGCTGCCAGGCTGCCTGGCTCTCCACCCTCAGAAGCTGTTCCGGGCCTCACAGCACAACGGACCCCTCTGGGTGGCCGATGAGCTAATGTCCTCATGTCCACCCTGCTCCCTCCTGCAGGGGTGGGGCGAGGACAGCATGCCAGGAAGCAGAGAACCAGAGTCCCTGCATCCCCCCTGTCCCTCCCGCCATGTGCCCTTCCTTCTCCATGTCTCAGGTCTCTGGTCCCTCTCTGCAGGGTGGAGCTGAGCAGGTAGTGAGTTCAAGTTCCTCCTTCCTTTCTTCCGTCATTCAACAAATAATTCTGGAGCAGCTACCATGAGCCAGGCAACGGTGCAGGTGCTGGACATAGAGCAGTGACCAAGAGAGACCAGGCTCCTGGCAGACAGACAAGCTCTGGGAAGAAAATAATGTAGGTGAATGCCCACTGACAGGTGACAGGCTACTCTTCTTAGGGTGGCAGGGCAGGCTTCTCAGAGGAAGGAACATTTGAGCTGGACAGCTAAGCAAAGAGGAAGGAAAGAGGAGTTCTGAGAAGCAAGGGTGAACCAGCCCACACCTGTCATCCCAGCCACTTGGGAGGCTGAGGCAGGAGGATCGCAAGCTTAAGAACAACCTGGGAAACTTGGCAAGACCCTATCCCAAAAGAAAACTAAAGCGGGACACTGTTGTAGCTCAGTGGTAGAGCATTTGCCTAGCATGTGTGAGGACCTGGGTTCCAAGCTCAGCACAGAAAGAAGGAGACAGAGGAGGAAGTAAAGAAGAAGTGTAGCCTTTGCAAAGGCCCTGAGGTGGGTTGACTTGGCCTATTTAAGGGGCAGAAGACCTCTCCCTAAAAATGATGCTTTGCACTCTGTGCTGCAGGGGTAGGAAGAGAAAGTGACATTGCCAAGGGATGTCACACAAGATGGCAGGAGGAGGAGGCTACAGTCAGCTACTACAGGTCCAGCCTCCAGCTCCTGGAGGGGCCAGCCTTGGACTTCACCCTCACCAGGAGACAGTGAAAGAATAGCAAAGACAACACAGTGTGTTCTAGATACCTGACGTGTATTCCTAGTTTAAGCCTCAAAGCCCTTCAGCTGGTATCATCGCCGCATTTGACAGGTAGAAAACCAGGGAGCCGCTGTCCACGTCTAGTGCCTGCTGACTGACAGAGCCCAACAGCTCACTGGCTGCAGAGCCCACGGCCCAGGCACCGTGCTCTGTAGATGAGCAGAGGGACTTGGTCCAGGTCTCTAGGGATGGTGGGGACAGCGGAAGATTCCCTGTGAAGGGCACCAGCCCTGACCCATTGCGGCAGCATTGGAGGACGCAGACTCTCGATGGCAAAATGAGCTCATTGTCTCTCTCTCTCTCTCTCTCTCACACACACACACACACACACAGCTAGATGTTACATGCACTCTCCTGATTTGAAATATTGGCTTGATGGTTATTTTCAATATCTGACAATCAAATAAGACAGGCTCTGAGCAGATGAAAATGTGGGGTCTCTTGTTCAGAAACCAAGAGTTTCAGGCCGTGGCAGCTGAACACGTCCAACGCAGGGCCCTTCTGGGCATGGGCCCTGCATAAGTGCTCAGGTTGCGTGTGCACGAAGCCAGCTCTGCCTCCAACGCGGGCACGTCCTAAATGCTCGCTGAATCACGTGGACGGGAGGGGAGAAGGGTGGAAAGTGACGGTGGGCCTGGCTGGGTATCGGCAGAGCTTTGTGAACTAGCTGACACTGGTAAAGCACATTGCCCCGGGGATGGCCCGACGCACTTGAACTTCGTGCCAGCACCGTAAGACATTGCCGTTAGGACGGTCGCTTCTCAGAAGCTGGATGAGCCCTCAGAGATCATCACTGTCAGATGGGGAGACTGGGGCTCCATCTCCCTCGCTCATCCATGGAGCATGGGGCATGGTGGGTGGGGCCGTGGGCTTTGCAGCCAGAAAATTGGAGCTGGGGGAGGTGAGGTCATCAGGTCATGGCTGAGAGAAGTGGCCTGGGGTGGCAGGGGTGAGGCAGGGAGGGAGCGGGAGAGCCAGGCAAACGGAGGAGAAGCTCTCGGGCCTGTTTCCCATGCGGGGCTGTGCTCAGGTGTCTGCCAAGACCATGTGGAATCTGGGGAGGCCCCCGCACCCCGGAGAGGGGCCTGTGGCATTTCTGAATCACAGTACCATCCGCCCCAGCTTGGCTGCTCTCCGGCGATCCAATTACTAAATGTAGCCGCATTCTTTAAAAATGTCTTTCCTCTTATGTAATGCAACAGTGACAAACGCCAAGCAGATGGTGCTTTGACAAGCTTGATACAAGTTGATTAGGAGCTCATCTTTCAAAATTAATGTATGGGCATTTAAACGCGCTCAGTCGGCCGCAGATTCCACCAAGAATCCAGATGGGACAAACCGCTCCAGGGACTGGCCGGGCTCCCCTCCTCCCCGGCCAGGCTTTGAAGTGAGCATTAGGGGACGTTGAGAGCGCAGGTCGGGGGACGCCTGAGCATGGTCCCCTGGCTTGGAGCAGGAGGAGAAGTACAGGCCTCCCCAAGGCTGGACGGAGCAGCCTCCTGTCCGTTTACCAGGACCTTTTCCTCCCCCTAACTTTTACCCTGTCTTTAAGAGAGCGCCGTCCCTCCCTGCCCTCGTCCCTCCCTGCCTTCCATAGGGAAGCAGGTTAGTCACCAACCGTGTCAGCTGCGCCAGAGAGCTGCTCTCCCCACCCTCCCCAGGCTCCGATGAGATCATTGCATTTGGAGCCAACTCCAGACGAGGATCGCGGATGGGAAGGAAACCTCCAGGCCCTTCCCTCCACCCCCACAGGCTGCACCTCGGGAAGGGCGGGAACAGGGGCCAGGCCGGGCCGGTCAGCTCCCAGGTATGTGAAGACCACATGTGCCCAAGCCCTAGCTGGGAGCTGTCATGCTACAGGCTGGAGGAAGTGTGCTGGCCTCCAAGGGTCAGGACTGGAACAGCCCTCAGACATCGTCACTGCCCATGGGGGAAAGGGCTCAGAGCGGGAAGGTGGCCCACTCACAATCACGCAGCAAGCTGGTGCAAAGCCGGGTGGGTGGACGGCAGCCCCTCCACCTGGCATGAGGAGGAAGCCCAGGGTCTGGAACTGCCCAGTCCCTGTCCTGCAGCTTCTGACGCCAGCCTCCACTTTTCCCCAGGGTGTCAGCCCTCCTCACTCTTGGCGCATGTGGTTCAAGGGGACCACCCTCCCCAACTTTCCCGAAAGCCCACCTGACCCCAGGGCCAGCCAATCAGAGCTCACTCACCCCACTCCTCACCCCACCACTGGTTCAGGAAGATGAACCAGGGATATGGGAAGACATAAGCCAGGTCCCTCAGCAGCAACCCCAGGACCTTAGCTAAGGCTGAGCCACTGGAAGATGCCTCCTTCCCCTGAGTGGAGACAGACTGGGAGGAAGATGGCCTGGAGATGCTGGCAGCCACTCGATGCCACCACAAGGTACCTACCCAGGAACAAAGCTGACACAGGAGAGCACGACCAAAAGAAATGACTCCCAGTTTCAACTTTTAAATCCCTGGATCCAGCTGTACCTGACTGCAGCCTTACCCTGAGTATTTCAATTGCATGAGTCCATTAATCTTGCCTCACACAGGGTTTTCTTGAGATGGGGTCTCGCTATCTTGCCCAGGCTGGGCTCCAACTCTTGATCTCCACCCTTCAGCCTCCAGAGAAACTGGGATTATAGACTCTTGCCACCACCCCCGGCTATAAATTCCCCCTTTTCCTAAAATAAATGAGTCCCATCACTCACCTCCCCCCAAAGAGCCCGACTAACGTAAAGACTTGAGATCCTTCGTGTGGGGCGAGCCTCCAAAACAGCCCCTCGAATGCTCCGCCTCAGCCCCAACCCTCCCATCTTTTTGTTTAAGCACCAGGTGGATGGAGACCCCGGCCTCTCCCGACAGATTCCCTGTGCGAGCGCCAGCCGCACATCCCAGAGCCCTGTGCCCGAGAGCTGGCCCCCAGTGGGCTGCTGCCCATCACAGCGTCCGCCTTCCCGTTGGCCCACAGCACGATTCAGACCCCAGCCCCCATGCTGCCAATCACGAGAGTCCACGTGTCTTCCTGGGGCCTCGGTCTCCTTATCTGTAAATGGGACAGATCACCTACTTCGCAGGGTCCGGTCCTTGAGGGCACTAAAACAGGGACCACGATTTAGGGACTGTAAAAGTGACAGCTGCCTGCACAGAGCCCGGCAGTCGCCCTTCAGCCTGCGAGGGACAAAGGCCCAGGCCAGGGAAAGGGCTTGGGGGCTGTCCTGGAGGCTGCTCCCACAGCCCCTTGCTGGCCCCCAGGTTGTCCGCTCCTCCATCCCCTCCATCGCCCCAGCTCCCCAACTCGGAACAGGACACACAGGTGCTGCCAAAATGCCACTCGGTGACTCACTCCACAGCCAGACAGTGGGAACAGTGTGGTTGTCAGGAGCCCTGGAGGCCTGATTTAGGAAGGAGGATCGAGTGGCAGCCTTTGGGCCAGTTTCTGCCCAGCCCCAAGGACAGCTGGTCATGCACCCCGCCCAGCCCCGGGCAGGGAAGTCTGGGTCAGTGTGCCCAGGGCCAAGGCGGGCACTGAACCTCTGCCCGGGGTGGCAGGGTGCTCGGGAAGCAGGAGTCCCCAGGGAGGCTGGTCTGGGAGGCCCAGGGCCCAGCACAGACCCGCTCTAGGGCGGAGGCACCCGAAAGCCTTCTCCACCTGAAAGACGCCCGTCCCGGAGAATCTCGAATCCTGTGGCCCCATTTATATAAAGTGCCCAGAAGCAGCAGATCCATAAAAACAGAAAAAAAATAGTCATCGTTTAGGGTTGGAGGGGTCAGAGGAATGAAGAGTAACAGCCAATGGGGACAGGGTTTCTTTGGGTCATTTTTTGGAGAGGGACTAAAGATGCTCTAAAATCAGACTCCGGTGATGGTTGTACAGGCCCTTGGATACCCTAAGATGACTGAGTGGTACACTTACAGTGGGTGAATGGTGTGGCAAGGGGATCCTATCTCAATAAAGCTGTCAAAAAATACAGCTGGCCGGGCGCAGTGGCACACACCTGTAATCCCATCAGCTCAGGAGGCTGAGGCAGGAGGATCACAAGTTCAAAGCCAGCCTCAACTACAGCGAGGCACTATCAGTGAGACCCTGTCCCTAAGTAAAATAAAAAAATATAGCTGGGGATGCGGCTCAGTGGCCAAGTGCCCCTGAGTTCAGTCCCTGGTACCAAAAAAAATAATGAAATAAAATACAATTGACACTCAAGGGGAGAAAATTAACCACCTCTGACTCTGGTAACTCTTCTAGGTTGTCCGTGAGCACCCCGTCCCTTGGCCCTCTCCAGCACTGGCGGTTTGCGTAAGTGAGAAGAGAACAGGCGTCAAGCTGGGCAACACCAACTAACCCGGGTCTGCTGGATGTCCCGTGTTTATCTTTCTGATTGTTCTCTTCTCATGGCGACCGATCGTTCACGTATGCATTTGACATCTTCCTTGAGCATGCTTGTGTGCCAGGCACCGTCTCAGGCCCAGGGACGCACAAGTCAACGAACACCTCTTGTCATGTTGGTGCGGGGAACCGAGCAGTTGGTGTAGCTCGTGGTTCAAATCCTGGCCCAGCCATTCGCCAGCTGTTAACCTCAGGCAAGTGGCTCAACCTCTCGGGCCTCAGCTTCCTAACCCATCAGGTGATACGTCAGGAGAAGTGCTCGCCCCACCGACAGGCTTAATAAATGTTGACCACTGTGGTTTATTGTCATTTATAATTGTCATCAAATATTTCCTTCTTAAACATGTGTATTCAAGTTTCCTTTTAAAATAGATTTATTGGGCTGGAGATGTGGCTCAAGTGGTAGCGCGCTCGCCTGGCATGCGTGTGGCCCGGGTTCGATTCCCAGCACCACATACCAACAAAGATGTTGTGTCCGCCGAGAACTAAAAAATAAATATTAAAAATTCTCTCTCTCTTGGGGCTGGGGATGTGGCTCAAG